GTGTGTGTGTGTGTGTGTGTGTGTGTGTGTGTGTGTGTGTGTGTGTGCGCGCGCACGTGTGTGTACATTGTAGGGGAATATAAGAGTGAAATGGTACAGTGGCCTTAGGTTAGAATGTAATTCTTACCATAGGAACCCATGAGAGACAGCAGAAGAGAAACAACAGCCTGGAGCTGAAGCTCTCAGCTCTCAGTCTCACCTCCAGGACCTTCTGCTGTGAGAGCTTTGTCCCATTGCTCCTTGGCCTTCTAGCTAAAACCACCTCATGCAAGTGCTTTCCCAGGCCTTGATCATATAATTTCTCAAGTGAGGATCTAACAGGGACCACAAGAGTTTGGCCATTAAGATGAAATTATTTAGCATTTGCCAGGAACTTACAACCATATTTGAAAGGGTTCTCTAAGTATAAGAAAGAGCGAAAATAACATATTTAGGAATGGGAGTTTCCCTTCTGCCTCCAGCTTTGGAAAACATTTCATTTGTGACTTGGTAGAAGGAATGGCCCTCTTTCCTGGAGACTGTCTAGGGTTGGTAATGTTTTGTTCTGAAATAATAAGTAATACAGTAGAAGTAGATCATTTTGTAGTGATTTCTTGGCTTTAAAGTTCATTCTAATTTAGTTTGTCGCAGAAATGACAAACATAATAATATGTTAATATTGATTTGGGGAGGAATGAGAGGAAATAGTGGGGCTGTAGCTCCATTATTGGAGTAGTTGCCTAGCGTGCACAAACTCCCCAAGGTCCTATCACAGGCACAGGTTGGTGGCTGACACCTGGAATCTCATCACTGCGGATAGATGCAGAAAACCACAAGTTCAAGGTCAGCCATAGATAGCTACATATCTAATTCAGAGACACTGATTTAGATCTAATGAGACACTGCTTTGAAAATTAAATAATAAAAAAAAGAATAAGAAAGAAAACACAAATAATATACAAGGCAGAATCTCCTTATAGTCAAGGGTCAATAAACTATAACTGCTGTAAGTTAGTAAACAAAATATAAACCATTTTTTTTGTTAGCTTTGTTTTGTTTCCTTTTTTCTATCCTCTAAGCTGTTCTGTCCAAAATCAAAATATAAGCTTGATTTCCTCTAACTTGGATTAAACTAATCTGCCAGTCCCCTGCCCCTGTGTATTTAGGCAGTTTCTATGGCTCTATTCATTCCAATACCAGTGTTTATGTCACATTGTCTGAGAACATGTTTCTGTAACGATCATACAAGAGGTTCAATGATGCTTCCACAAATTAATTTTCAATTTTTATTTAGAAATAATAAAATAAGACATAATATATAAAAAATATGTACAACCCATGGTTTGTGCAGTACAATAGGAAGACTTTAGATACAAAAAAGATGGCAAATGGGAAAATAATAACTATCATGATTGTCAAAGGCTAGGATCGTTCAACTGGTCAAAGCACAGAGCTGAAACCTAACATTCCTAGGAAAGAAACTCTAGTTTGCTGAAGATTGTGGGAGGAGATATAGTAATGCAACACTTTTATGCTTTCCACCTTAGGATCATTAAAAAGAGTGATAAGGAGCTTAAATCACCCCTCAGGATGAGACATTTGCTTCTATGGGGTGACTGATTATAAGATAGAAACTGATGTTTGTTATCTTCAAGGGGAACATCTTTGGGAAACCAAGGTCATGAGACACACATCAAGATTTAGGGAGGGGGTATATGGGGAGGAAGGAAGTGAAAGAAAAGGAATAACGCATTAACAGAACAAGAACAAAGTCAAACAAACTTCTCTAGAGATTTGGAAATGACTACAGTGCTATATGACATTCTAAAAATGTCTGATTCAAGTATACTCTTAGAGGGATAGAAAACTATTCCTTTCTCGATAATCAAAATAGAATTCACTTTGTCTACCTTTTATTTAAAAATAGAATAACCAGGAATCTATGCCTCCCCCCTCCAAAAAATATATATATAATGCCCATTCAGATTTGGGCAAACATTCTTTAAAAGGGAATACATCCTAGAGGAATTTGCTTGCAGCAGAGAAGCAACGGGAATCTGGGGATGGACCCCAGATATTCAAGGTGAGTCCCTCCATCTGCATACTAGTGGCAGCTGTGTACACTAGTTCTGGAGGCCCAGTCAACGAAGACAGATATTTTGAAGGTAAAAATGCAGGGAGAAATGCCGTGCATTACCTATGTCTTGGCTCTTGGCAAAACAAAACAAAAAGCCATTTAAAGCTTGTAACTATTAAAATGCTAATAACTACAAAAAGCTCTCAAAGGAACAGTCCATGCTGAAATAAATAACAGAAGAACATACCAAAACAAACCTCAAAAGGCTGGTAATATCCGCTAAAACCATGCTAACCGGTAGCATATAGGTGCTAGCTCTCAGAACTCACTGTTGTAATTATACCTCTTACGGGATTTTTTTTTCCTTTACAGATTTCTATTTACATTTGGCTTTAAATATGAAAATATCTGATAAACTTTATAAAATGTACACTTTAAAAATGTAGCTTCTGCAAAAAATTTCTTGAAAAACAAAAATAAACAAACAAACAAACAAAAAAAAACAAATCTATGCACCAGAAATTTAAGATGTTTTCTTCTTTTTAAGCAACAAGTTGAAAGATTCCCCTCCCTTTTTTCTTGTCTCTGAACCCACCCCTTTTCAAATAACTCAAGTCTTTTAAGTGGTAGCGCTGTGTGTTTGGGGGAACGTCCAGGTGGTCACCCCTATTCTTCACTCCATCTTCATTTGATTTACATTCCACTAAATACTCTTTGGTTTGATTATTTTCCTTTGCAAATCATTGTAATAGCAGCATCTGAAGCCCTCCATGGCCTCGCACTGTCAAAAGCCAGTCTGTTTTCTCTTCTGTGAATTAACCCCTCCCAAGCCCCTCCAACCGCTTCAAGCCACTTCCTAACCCTGTCTTTAAACATGGATGTACAATGACAACCACTTTCTCAACACTTCCCTCTTGATTTAAATAACACCAACAGTTGTCAAGTCCATTGACTTAGAAAGTTGAAAACAGCAGAAACTGTCATCATTTTACAGGCACTGCATCCAGATACAGCTGCTCACCAGCCACAGACCAGCACAAACATCAACTGAAATAAAATACATGATGCTAGAACAAGCTGATTTTTAATGGCATATTAGGGTGTAATACCATTAGAGAGTTGATTTTGAGACTCCAACTAAAAAGCGAAATTAGCAGCCCTACGATTCACAAGTAGGAAACTTTAAAGCCAAAAGAAAGAAAGGGAGAGAGAATTGTGTTGCTGGGCTAAAGTGAGGATGGAGAGAGAAGCTTTTGTAAAGACAGGTGGCTAGGCAGAAAGGCTTCTAAAAAATGATGTGTCCTTGGTAACCTGCTCTGGGACTTTACAAGAGACAATGGCCAGCTCACATTAACCATGAGTGTGTACGCAGAGAGAAGTAACCCTTTAGACCCTTAACTCCTTAGCTTGTAATTGCATTGTATTTATATGGCTCACTGAGACCCTAAAATGCCAAGACATGCCCTCATACCCTCTGTCATGAAAAAGGCAACTTCCCTCTCCCTTGTAAAGCAGATTGTTGCACTGAAGTGGCTCATGTACACACACACACAAACACACACACACATAAACACACACACCCCGAGATCCACACCTGCTTTGCATATTCAGCTCATGTTGAGTATATCACTCTTTTCAGACACCCCAGAAGTATAAGCCTAGAGGCCAGACATCTTTCTTAATATGACACCAAGCTAGAAATGACCTGACAGTCAAGGCCATGACTCAGCTGCAGAATTTGCAATCTATCTATCTCCCATGCTGGGTAGCTCTGTTTGGAGGGTGCCAGGCTACCAACAAAGTTAAACCAAGATCTGATCTTATGGAATAAACTTTGGAATGTGCAATAAGAGAAAAGCCCAGAAAAGTCTTAGTGACTACTGCTCTCTCTCTCTCTCTCTCTCTCTCTCTCTCTCTCTTTTGAATACATTAGCCGGACCAGCACTACTTATCACAGAAAAAAAAAAGTCTGAATAGTGCATATGTAAGTTTGACCCATGCTTCCCCCTCCCTTTCAAATAAGAAGGACGCACAAAAGAACAGTTAAAAAAAAAATACTACATTTATCAGATTCCGATGCTCTTTTCAGACTAAGGTGCAAAATGAATGGGCTATTTGTAACATCTTGCTGAGGTTCAAAGTAAGTGTCTCTGGATTTCCCAGACAACCCATGGGGCTTTGTTCCCCTTTTAAATATAAACTCCACTGTGCAAAAAATGTGCATTATCTTTGGTATTTATTTTAGGTAGTCTAACTGAAAATTTGAGATAACCTATTAGCGTGGTGGAAAGGAAAAGTATAAAACCCGGAGGCTACCATTTGGCTAGTGTTACATAATGCCCTTATGTAACAAGAAACAGGAGAGAGAGGAAGAAAGACAGACAGAAAGAGAGACAGAGAGAGAGAGAGAGATCAATTTTAGCAAACAAATTACTGGCCTCAGGAAATCAGGCTCCCATTTTGGCAGTTATAGCCAAATACTTGACACTTGGAAGCATACCGTGAGCTTTCAACAATGTTCAACACTGACGTTTTTAAGATTATGTCAAAGATAAACTACACTGCAACAAAAATACAGTTTGTGTTCATGTAGTTAGCAGCTTTTCAGAAAATTAAGGCAGAGTCTTGCCTATGTTATGCCATTAAAATCATTCTTGTTCCCCCTAAAGAGAAGCATTCCAGGTAAGTCATATATCCAAACCGAGGCTTGCCTGCATATTCAAGTTTTGTAAAAACACAAAACAATACATTAAAAAAAAACATAACTTATTCTACAACAGATATGTGCCATCGGGTCACTCGGAGGCCTGCAAAGCACTTTATATCAGTCATCCAGCTTACAGTCTTTTCTTGAAACCTTCGTGCTAGCCTTAGTCTCTTGTGGCTACTTGCCTTCACCCACCTCTCGACCAGTACCATGGTCTGTATCACTGTCCCGGCCCTCTGACCAACAACAGACTGTGTAGCGAAGTAAATATTCCAAAGGCAGAATCAGCCAGTCATATCTCCGATTCTCGCCTTAAGGGCCTGGGCTCTAGAGGTACGCTCGCCTGGTTGTGAAGATCTATGCCAGGTGGCGAGTCTGTGCTGGTGCTCTCTGGGACCCCATTCTCACTGTCCTCTTCCTCTTTGCTTGTTAGAGCAACTTCATTTTCATAGCAAAATGAATTTGCATTTGAGAGGATATATTTCTTCTCTGCTAAGTCTCTGGCACTACAAAGGGGGGTGTTAGGTACTTCATAAGTCTTATGGAACCTTGAATAGTCCACTTTGTAGTAGTGCTTTTCTTCAAAGAGAACTGGCTCATAGCGGTGACCCCAGAGAATTTCATTGGCCAGATATGAACTCCGACACTGTGTTGTCATGGCAGTGGCTTCCACCATGCCTTCCAGTATGACAACAATTTCAAAGTCTGCATTGTCAATGTCCTGCTTACTCAAGTCATATAAAGGGCTGTCTTCATCTATTTCATGAACAATAGTGATAGGAGACACTAAAAATATACGGTCAATTCCACTATCGAAACCAACATTGATGTCTATCTGGTCCAAGGGGATATACTCCCCTTCCGAAGTGATCCTGGATTTGAGAAGCTGTGCCCGGACATGAGCCTCCACAAGGTGGCTTTTGCGAAGGTTGCCTACCCGCCACATCAAGCACAGTTTGCCGTCCCTCATGGCAATCACAGCGTTGTGACTGAAGACAAGAGTCTCGTTTCTCTTCTTTGGCTTTGCCATCTTTGCCATGACTGCGCCGATGATAAAGGCGTCAATGATGCAGCCTACGATTGACTGGAAAACCACCATGAAAACAGCAATTGGACACTCATCGGTCACACACCGGAAACCATAGCCAATGGTTGTCTGGGTCTCAATGGAGAAGAGGAAGGCGGCTGTGAAGCTGTTGACCTCAGACACACACGCTTTGCTCTCTTTAGAAGCATCCAGGTCCCCATGGAGCAGAGCTATCAACCAAAACACACAGCCAAAGAACAGCCAGGAGAGCACAAATGCGAGGCAGAAGATAACCAGCATCCACCGCCAGCGAATGTCAACACAGGTGGTAAAGATGTCTGCCAGGTACCTCTGTCCCTTCTCTCCCACATTGATGAACTGAACATTACAGTGACCATCTTTCTTCACAAAACGGCTCCTGCACTGTTGCCGGGTATGGACTTTGCTCTTGCCATTCCCGAAGCCGTTAGCCACTGCCATGGTGGCCAACTTCATGCCATCTTCCTCCGAAGAGACGATGCTGTAGCGGTTGGTTCGCACACTGCCCATTGCTTCGGCTGTGGACGCCAGTGTTTCTGCTTTAGAAAACAGTCTGAGTTTTTGCAAAACCCTTTGAAGAAACAGTTTTGAATGTTCGGTGAAGACTCACACACCAAAAAAAAAAAAAAAAAAAAAAAAAAAAAAAAAAAAAAAATTTTTTTTTTTTTTTAATGAGGAGAGATGGATGCTTCCAAGAACCTTGGGGTTCTTTCTGACCAGCAGAGTTACCTTAGTAATTCAGCTGGCATCCAGAGAACTTGTCCTACAAGAAAAGAGAGCATCCATTACAAAACAGCCATACTTAATGGAGTCCACTGGCTAAGACAATATTCTTGTCTTAACAAAAACAGAATAAGATACAAGCAAATGTACTTTGGATTGAGTTGTGTGGAGTTTTCATTCTTCCTATAAATGCTCTATAAGTTTTCATTTAAAACCAGTCATTGAAGATAGATAAGCTAACTCTAGTAGCCATTCCACAAGATTTCAATTCTCTTTTCTTCTACTGATTGTCAGCAATCTAGAGTATTCCATAATTCATATCTAACTATCAGCTCTTACTCCTCTATGTTCTCAGAGTGATAAAGGAGTCATTCTGATTTGAAGATTCAAACCAGCTTTTAAAAGTAGGATATGTCTAGAGAACATTTTATATGAACAGCCTGGATATTAATCTAATTATGTGTGTATTAAGAGAAGATGTCCCAACTTTTGCTGAAAAGGTTGAAATCTATGGGCACAGACAATTCTTTTTCAGTAATAATGTTGGGCAGAAAATCCTTTGCAGCATTTGAAATGACTCCTAACTTCTGGATACTGTTTGGGCTTGCTCCATCACTCCATGCACTTGAAGTACTGCAGAAACATCTGATACCATCTCCCTGAATGCAAGGGATTCTGACTTGAAGACACAGATTTGCTCTAGGGGATAGAGAGCCATTCTGTTGCCTAGCAATATGAGTCCTGAAATTCTCCAAGGATGGGATTGCCATGTGTAATGACAGGGTAGGAAGCAAGCACCTCTGTGCCAAAGGCCCAGGTCTTTAGCGGATTGAGATAAGGCAGGAGCTCATTTCATGTGGGTCCAAGGCTGTGTGCTCTCAAACAGAGACAACTTTGTAATCAAAGTAGCTCATAAATGCCAGTCAGCTTACTTTCACTTCTGGTGCTGTTGTTTGCAGTAGGTTCCTATGGAGAAGGCACTCACCTTTACCTAACATGAACAAATAGTAGCTTCCAACTTCCTCCCACTGCTTCATTCTGCCTGAGGTAAAATTTAGCTACTTGCTTTGACTTTCCCTATTGACTTAAAAAAAAAAAAAAGAAAAACCCTACATTTTCCTTATAACGAGAGAGAGAGAGGAGGAGGAGAAAGAGGAGGAGAGGAGAAGAAGGAGGAGAAAAGAATGCATAAGAAACCATCTTAGATGTTTTTTCTTATGCACTGTGCACTAACAAAGTCTAGAAGGAGATTAATATTAATATGTCCTAGAATTAAAAACTGAAAGTGATTTTCAGCTTTTCAAACCACCAAATCCATGTGCAGTTTTAAAGTGGGACAATAGAAAGGATCAGAAATTTGTCGGGGCCTTGGTAAGAGGACTCCCGTGTTGATTTCCCCCCAAAGGCACATGAATATGGATCAGTCAACAGAACCATTTTCAGCCAAGCCAGCTGCAGACATATTAAGTGACCCATTTGTCCTTATTTCATTCAGTCCATTACTGAGGCAATGTGCATTGTCTTTGGAAATGTCATGTTCTAGTCTCCTGCTATATCCAAGTTATAATCAAGATGTACCCCAACTTATTTTTCTTGATATTAGTCATCTGTGAAAATTGCAATGTGTGCTTCATTTTGGCAGCTTTTGGCACCTAAATGATTCTTGATTTGAAAATGCCTTTGAATTGCTTTACAAAAAGAAGTTCCATTGCCTTCCCAACCTTCTGCCTGCTTCACTGTTGTGTCTGCTTCCCTGTGAAGTGTGCACTTGGACAAAGGAATAAAGAATCATATTCCTCAGAGGTGTAGACCCTGGACTTGGAAAGAAGTATTTTAACAGTATTTTCAGATGACTTTGCTCACATAATGTTACCAAATGTTTCTCCATGAACATGGGGCCAGCAGCATAACACCAAATGCAGGCGTGCTCTTCTTTAAAACATGAAAATGGGACAAAGAAGTCCCTTCAACGAGTGTCTCTGAGCTATGATTGACTTGAAAATATTTGACTATAAACTAATACCAATAAACTCCTTTTTCACTCTTCAAGAGAAGCCTTTCTCTGCATTAACATCAATGGACATGGACTCACACCAACTCTGTGTCTTTCCAGACAGGGACCTAACAACACTATGACTTTGAAAGGTCCAATTGGGACCTTCCAAAATCTCAACCCTAGAACATCTGTTTGAATTCCACAAATCACACACTAGCTGTTTCCTATGAATAGCTTTCCCCACTTGGAACCTCGCAAAGAGCATGTACTGAGGGGGCTGTTATTGTCTCATTTCCATTGCTAATGGCAGAATTTGTTCCACACGCTAGAGCATCATTTTCAGGTCTTACCAGTGCTCCCTGGAAAGGGGAAAATAACTGTTCTTTTTTTTCCCCCTGAAATGGAAAATTTCACCACGTCAAACATATGCTCAAAACGGGGTAATGTGTACATATGTACACACACACACGTCTTATGTGTTCAGACTTTTATAGATCTTATTACAACTGCAGAAGTCTAGAACCTGCTACAGTTTGGCAGGTTAACTGTCTTTATAGTTCACTCTGCCTTTGCTGTGGACCTGTCCACATGTTCCAGTGACCTCAAACAAGCAGAAATTTCTCTTGTCCTCTCCTCCCTCAGTGGGAATCACCAAAACATCTGGGAAAAGCTTTCATTAAAAACTAGGACTTCCATGAAATATTATTACAAAAATTTTCTGAGAAATAGCAAACTAGTAATATATTCAGACACCCTTGCCTCATTGGAGGCAATCTAGAAAGCTGATCCTGGGTATTATTGAATAATATAGAAATCCCAGATTTCTCAGATATTTAAGGATCCAAATCTATACTCAATGGACAGGAATCAGCGTCTCACCCAAGCCATTACCAATGAGGTAGAGAGTATTTCTGGGAAACTGAGAGGCTCCATGTGGTGCTGTTCATGTTAAGACTATTTATAGGCTGATCCAAAATTAAGCATAAGCAATGGGAAAAAATAGTTCAGCACGTCAATCTTAGGTAGATATTAAAGGAGGGAGAGAGAGAGAGAGAGGGGCACAAATGCATGGTTGAGGAGACCACACTGCAGAGAAGGGAGAATCCTAATTGTTTTCTATATAAGGAACACCTCCAGTAGAGCATGCGAAAAACCAGATGAAGGTACTTGGAGGGAATAAATGAGAATTATGATCTCCCATAAGAGAAGGGATCAGGGACCCTCAGTGAAAAAGTAAGTTTCTGACTAAACACAGGAAACAGCAGAGTGGAAGGTGCTGGGGGGGGGGGGGGGAACTCTCCTAATGAGAGCTTGGAGCACCTATTCCCCAGCTGACGCCATGTAGGCCAGCCCCAGAGTGCTCTGGGCACAAGTTGCCATGTGAGTCCGATTGCTGCAGAGCAACCTCTGTGAAGCTCAGTAAACAGAAGGGAGGGGGAAGGACAAGTCAGGGGAGGGGGGGGGGACACCCATTTATATCTGCATGAGTGCTGGTGGCTAACATCTATCCACAGCAACGTCCGTGGCAACTCGGGCACTTATGGATGCCGAGGGCGACGTGTGTTTGGTAAACAAAATGTACACCTTTTTAAAAACTGGAGACGGAACCACCCTTCAGGTAAACATGGGGCCAGCCTTCCAAATTACTACGAAGTCAAAGCAGGACAGCTGACCAGAGAGTTTTGGTAAAGACTGTCTGAAAGATGTTGACTGCTTGGTTTGTTTGTTTGTTTGTTTGTTTGTTTGTTTAATTTCACAAAGGTGCAAAACAAGCTTCTTTACAGATGTCAAGAACATAAAAATCGAAGAATACCACACTGTGGAGTGAGAGGCACAAAACAAAGTGAACTGACCTTGACCCCTGCGGTCACCTTTCCCACCATACTTGAATTAACCTATCACTCTCCTGGGCATTTGGGGATTTTTTTTTTTTTCCTGCATAATGAAAATAAAAAAAAAATCAAAACCTTGGATGAGGGCAGGAAAAGGTGAACAGTTGCAGCGGTAGCTAGCTCACGGTGCATGTACAGAGGTGGTCACCATAATAAAATACGACTGCCTGTTAGTTATTAGTGGGAAGAGACACCAAATGACAAAAGGAGATAGGAATTTTCTCCTGTGCTTAGCCAAGACAGGTTTTTGAGTAACGTTAGTCTTTATTTCTTGACAGGTATATTCGGAGTTTGTGAAAATCATTGGAAAGGACAGTCGCACACGAGTCTCCGCTGACAGACTGAACCAGCACAAGTGGGACCGTGACTGCCCATTTCCTCTTATTGCCCCCCCCAACTGTCCGTCATAAGGAGTCCGTGTTATGATGCAGTCTTTTTTTTTTTCTTTTCTTTTTCTTTCTTTCAGAATCAAGATGCTTTGATCATTGCTTCCCTAAAACCACACTGTCTTCAAATGAGGGATTTACACCACGATTACTAAGAATAGCGAAGTGCTTAGGGCAGACTGACATAGGATGGGAAAGTTTTGCTGTCTTCAGGCTAAAATCCAACTCTGGCTCCTACTCTTTTCTCAATCTCTCTCTCTCTCTCTCTCTCTCTCTCTCTCTCTCTCTCAGCAAAGGAACTTTGAGACTCGCGATGCTCACTCTGGAATTCTGTGCTGTTTTTGTAGCAAAGACGCCCCCCCCCCCCAGCCCCGAACAAACACACATACACGGAAGATCTAGAATAAGTGGTGAATCTCGTGGTCAGACCAGCGCTCAAGAGGAACCTCCAATCCCCAATCACCTTCTCTTCCTCTCTTTCCCTCTCAATAAAAGGAAGTATCCACGCCAGGCTCGCGCTTGCCTCTAAACCCAGTATCTCCCTACAGCTGGTGCATTGGAAGTTATGAGCACAAACAGATGCTGCAGAGAA